GACGTGACGAAGCGTTGCCAGAAGCCCCGCCCGGACTCTCTGATCTTCTACCGATCCGTCTACTTCGCCCGCTCTGACAGAACCAAGTTTTGATGTCTCTCGGCTCTCGATTGCGGCTCCTGTTCCCCCTCCTCTCCCTTCTCGGGTTTCGGTATAAAACATAAAATCCCACAAAAAATCGAGATATTAACAGTTCACAAAAACATTAGATAGCGGCTTGGGGTAGTTGTAGTGGATTGTCGTCGTGGCTACCCTGTTTACTCGCTGATGCTGCTGACATTCCTACAGCTTTATGCAGATCTCCATTCTCATTGCGGCTGGGTAGCCGCGCGCCTGGAACCGAAACGAAAAAAAGATAAGTCCCAATTCCCTCGGATAACCGATTGCATTGCGACGCCTCATGAGCATTTGCTGAAACCTTCCACAGGTTCTCCCTCTTTGAGGCGATCGCGTATTTCGGGAGAAGATATCCTCGTCGCGGCTTTGGAAGCCGCATGCCTGGCACCGAAACGGAAAAAAGTGAGTATCACTTTCTTCGGATTTCATCGCGGCGTCAGTCGATCACCTGTGCTGAGACCTTCCACAGGTGCTCATTTTCCGAGGCGATCGCCGACTTCAGTTCTCGTGCAGCTTCGGCGAAAAATATCCTCGTTGCGGCTTGGTAGCCGCTCGCCTGGCACTGAAACGGAAAACGATAAGTCTGAATTCCTTCCGACCGCCTTGCGGCGCTACACAAGCATTCACTGAAACGTTTCGCAGTTTTCGATTTTGGAGGCGATCGCGCACTTTCGATGCACAAGAGGCAGATGTAACGTCACATGTTGCCCTTGACGCCGCTCCCTGCCGCTCCCAGGACCTCTTCCCTTGGTCAGCATTCGCCGTCCCTCACGAGAAATATTACGCGTATTTAGTCAGAGCGGAGCAAATGCTCGGTTTGGTAGAGCCCGTAGCGCACGCGTCGGCCTGATCAATGACGCTCTCCACTCATCGTAGTATAGACTTCACAACAAGACGCGTGCCGGCCTTCAATTTCACTGTATATCATTATTCATCCCGTATCCCCGCAATCAAAGCGCGACAACTCAACAAATTACTCCTAACAACTCAATATGCAGAAGCTCCGTACCAGAGACATGTGGCGAAACTAACAGAAGACAGGAAGATGTCACACATGTACTGATAATAGAGTAGGGACGATGACGAATAGAGACGGTGGAGTTTACAGCTACGCGTTAGACGGCCGAACACCCGACGTCTTGATCGATGCTTCGTTCTCTTGGCCCCGCAATGTGCTGTGACCAATTTTCTTTTTGCGCGGTGCCTTCACCTGGTCACCATCAAGAACACAAATCAGCAAACATAAACGCGGTTGTTCATAGAGACGTACCGTGAGTCTTTCGTGCGCTGGAGTACTAATATCCCAGTACCAAAGGGGTTCCGCGTCCGGGTCCAAATTGAGCTCTCGCTTGAGAATGTCGATAACCTCATCTTCGTCGTCTTCTGAGAGTTCATCCTCGCATAGGGAGAAGTTGCTGTACAGCGACAATACAAAGTCGTAAATGGGGTGCACGACAACAGCCAAACGAATTCTCGCGCGGCAGATCATCGTCAAGTTGCGAAGCATGCGATCAGAACAGGTCATCATTCTGGTGGCACCCGCGGGGATGAACTCCTTGCGGATGGCGTAAGAGACCAGTCGGTCGTGTGGGACCCCCAGGCCGTAGTGAAAGAGCGGACAGTCGTCCGGTCCGACATCTTCTTGAACCATCCAAGACGGGATTTGTGGCAAGGCTTGACGATGCTTTTCAATGAATTCGTAACGAGCTCCCTAAACTCATGTTTGGACAAATCTTAGCTAAATGAAGCCAGTTGGACGTACCGCACACGGGTCCAGGTTTTTCCTTGACGACATTGCAGCAAGGAAATCGAAAAATGGGGATCAGCCTACTTGAAGCGATAAACGGCAAGACAGCCAAAGGACGAGTGGCTCGAGGGAACTTCTCAAGTTGAACAAGACGCGAAGGATCGCCTTTTATGTGAATGAGGCGACACGGTCACGTGCACTCTTCAAACCTCCTCGAGCCAACTTGCCTACGTCCACCGGCAACTGGACAATGGCTCATACATTGCGCTAATGAACTCCTTGGCATGCGACCACTCACGTATTATCTCCGCAAATTAGTTCTCGCTGAGCGACAGCAAGATCAACCGATGGCCGTAATCCGAGACGGACATCTGAGTGTGGTTTAGCCTCTACCGATGGCCTGCTGCAAGCACTACCCCACACTACCATCCACCCGCGCCGTGTTGAAGCCTCCAGGACTTCTGTACTAATCACTAACTTGCTCTGTCAGCGTTGGAATCAAATAACCCGTCGCTAAGACGAACCTTGCCGAGCACATCGAACCGCTCAATTTCTGGCGCTTCGCCATGGTGAGGCGGGAATTCATGCCAACGGTCTCTGCCAGTGTCAGGTATGTGGTCTAGCTGTATCTTTCCCATAGCCATCGGCTCGCACTCGGACTATGGCAGATCCACTCGAGGTCGCTCTCATTGAGCATCAACCACGACCTCTTGCAGTGGCCGGTGTAGTCAAACGCTGACCACGGCCCTCTTTCATGGCCCGGGTTAGAATCGATGGTTAAATAACACTCGATTCCCGTTTCTCAATGGTCAGAGCTCCCTTGATACACATACACTCACCCCTGCCTGCCCTGCTGCGAGCACCTCATTCATGGCGGCCCGCTCGATCAATATCACCGAGGATGTGAGCTGATATTCTTTTTCAGGAGACTTGCGCATTGTGACTGATGTAACTCACTTAGGACTTTTACGACAAATTACGCGATCCCGTGTTTTATGCACGCGAAGCGGACGCCGATGAGCACGATAGTTACAGTTTTGTTGGAGAGATACTCTATACTTGGTCTTGGCCTATCTCGCGTCTTTTGGAAGGTGATCGCAGGGGGACCATGCAGATCTTTCCGCAGATGACCTTAGCCTCGTCGAAGGTGAAGGACAAGGTGGAGCCAGAGGCAGAGGGCGAGGATGGGAATAAGGCTGAAAGAGATGGCGAGGCGCGAACGGCAGGGGAAGTCATACCTGAACAACAGAAGAAGAAGGAGCAAAAGTTCAGGTCTTACCCGGACTTCGGTGGCCTGATTCTCCTTCGCTCGCCGAACGGTCCAAGGAAACACCTTGCATTCCTTTGGGAGTGCAAAGCCGCGCCAGCTTACGTCAACTGGTCTGATGTGGACGATGGACTGACCCACGACGGCGCCTGCAAGGTCATCAAGGATTCTCTGCCTCAACTTCGCAGGCAGGCCGAAATGGCGATGAAGCAATTCGAAACTCAGACATGCCATACATTCCTCAGATCGGGCCCGTTCTTCAGCCTTCTCGAATTCAAGGAACGCGAGGACGTACCGCAACCTACTACACTCACAGAGTTGCCCTTGCACAGGAATCTAGCGGAGGAGCTGGAAAGGGCGACCCGTATTCCATGCGATCCCATCTATTTTGTACAGCCCATCTTCCGCAACATTGACCAGCCCAATCTCCGTCTAACCGCTCCCTTTCTGGGCGCCTTACACTGGGTGGTTTCCGCTGAGCCGTTCCATTTAGAGCTATCCCAAACATTCTTTTCGTTGCCGGACGACGAGCAGGCGGAAGGACAACCCTCCGACGATATACGAGTGCGTACCAGAATACTGTGATCATGAAGTATAGCTCATGAGTCTTGCTCAGGACGAGGCACGGAATTTATTGAACGCTAATCAAGAGCAATTGACGAACGAGCTGGAGGTGTTGCAAACGGTTGCCAGTGACGACACCCCAGACGTTGTAGATCCAGGGCACGGTGTTGACCCCAACTTCAGGGGCAGGCGCAACAAATCAGAAGAGCCATGTACGCCGAGCAAAATCCGCCTTACACGCGGACTGCGATCCAAGACTGGTTTGCCGCTTATGGAACCTTTGAAGCTCGAAGGGAGAAAACGGGGCCCGGGCGCGAGGGTTAAGAGGGTGTTAATCGTTGAGAATGTCAATGATGAAGAAGAGGATCAGGGCGAATCCAAGGTTGACAACAATGTAGACGTTGCAAATACTGACCAGGCGGGCGTGCGCGATGGAGGAGTAAGTTCTTAGGGACAACGGCTTCAAACACGATTTCTACGCTTCCATATCCGGTACTATAGTCAGTCGTAGCCTAATTAAATCGCATAGTCATCTAAGTCTTGTGCATCACAGATGCACGACGAAGAGGTAAGCGTGCTCATGTGAGAGACTGGGAACACTAAACCCGCGCTCCTTCGGGCTTGATAGAGCAGGATGCGCACCTAGCCTGTGTCTCCGGGTCCACATCTTCGAACACGGGTTGTTGGTCTTTGTCTTGAGTTTGTGCTACCTGCATGTGCAACTTGACAGCTTTGGAATGGGAGGAAGTTATGACATGTGCATCTAAGGTCGGCAGCAAGGCACGAGTGCTTCGCATTGAGAAGGCCAGGACTTACCATGTCCCAAGTCATCGTGTAAGAACTGTCCACATCCCAGTACCAAAGGGGCTGCAATTCCGGTGGTAGATCAAGCTCATCTTTCACGAGCTTGAAGAACTTCGACTCCGCTTCTGCCACATGCGACTGATACTTGATGAAGTTCGAGTACAAAGCGATCATACGCATGAAGCAATAGTATTATGTCATGGCGCAGTACAATTTGACATTAGCACGTCTGGCGATGTGATCAATTATTCGTCGCGCGTGACAGACGACAAGCAGGTCAATTTCGGCCTCTCTGGGTTTGAACAACTTGTGCTTGAGGTCATAGGTGCGGAACTGTTCACGGGAGACGCCTAGTCCATAGTGAAACCGTGCGCAATCATCTTCGCGCAGGTATTCATCACACACCCAAGGCGGTAGCCGCTTCAGTGCTTTTCGGTGCTCCACTGCAAATGCAAGCCATGATTCCTGAGGGGTGGGGCATGAGTACATCGTGTCATGCACCATACAGCCGAAAATATCGGCAAAGCGACACTACCTTACACGCTCGTTCCGCGTCGCTCACTGCTATGGGTGACAGGGGGTTATTGTTCGAGCTTGCCCGTGGCCACGACCACGCATTCGTAGTATAACGATACTATGCCAACACACATGGTCGTACATGAGGATCTCAGAAGACGAGACCGAGCGTCGAAAACAGATGGAACGCTGGAGTGGAGGCAATGACGAACGATAAGACCAGACAAACATGCGAAGTCAATGATTTTGTCAGTGAACCTAAGGCCGCACCATGTTGGGCCTGTTATCGAAGGACGCGTATCTTTCCTTGAGCTGCGGGTCTACGGATTCAAACTGCGGAGTTTGATCTTCGTGTGCGGTATTTGTAATGGCCATGTGCATTTCGACGGCCTTGGGGATTGAGAACTGCGGCGCACGCATTGAGTATCAACGATGCTTTCCATACACGGAGGTCAGAACTCACATCCTGTAACGTCACCGTGTCGGAACTATCCGCATCCCAGTACCAGACTGCCTCCGAGTCGGGTGAGAGTCCAAGCTCGGTCTTGATAGATCTGATGACCTTCTCGTCCTGCTGCTCCGAACGATGCCGCAGATGCTTGTTGAAGTTCGAGTAGAGGGCGACCATACCGGTGTAGCGATAGTGCGCAATCATCTCGTGAGATAACCTGAACTTGCAGCGCTTCGAGATATCATTAACTATCTTCCCAACGCAGAGAACGACCGATAAGTCGTCCTCTGCCGCCTCGGGCGGGAGCAGCCCATGTTTGATGCTGTATGCGCGGAATCGCTCGAATGGAACACCCAGTCCGAATTGGAGTCGCGGGCAGTCACCCTCGCGAAGCATCTCGTCGCACATCCAAGGCGGAATGCGCGTCAATGCGGTTCGATGGTCTACCGCGAATCGGAGGAATGATTCCTGGAATCGTATATCTTGTCAGACCTTTGTCTGCAGAAAGTAAGGAATGATCACCACCTTGAATTCCAGTTCAGCATCGCTGACAGCCATCTCGTAGTAGTTCACGCTGATTTAGAGGGGGTCAACTGTAGGCTGGTACTGTGTGGCGAGAATACCGCGGGGTAGGTGGATCGCTGGCTCCGAAGCTGTCAAATGATGCGCGTCGCGTCCGTTCCCGTGATCGTGAAACCCGGCGATGGAGATACGTGGCCCTCAATAAACGCAACATATCACACGTTCGAGGAGAAAGATATAGTATGGGCATGGGTGGCGACGAAATGACGACAGTAACGAACGCAGCGACGAAGATACCGTTCTTTCATCTCGTAAACTAGTCAGCGCTTGGTGAGCACAATTCGTGGTTCACTGGTATTACGCCAGCACTGTCATACAGCTATACGTGAGGATTATTCGGAGAGCGAAGGTGAAACATAATCGTCGATAGAAAACAGAACATAGCAGCGATAACGGCGAAAGACGAGAACGCGAGCTGAGATCTTGCTAGGGAGCTAGGCCCGGCCGGTTTTGGGCTTGGTGCCGAAGGACGCATACCTTTGTATGATTTCCTCGTCTACGGACTCAAACTCCATGGTTTGCTCTCCGTTTTCGAGCTTCAGGCGCTGCATGCGTGATTCGACAGCCTTGGGAATTGAAAGCTGCAATCCAGACTTTCAATATCAACAAGGTTTTGCGCACGGGATTCACGACTCACCGTCTCTTCAGTCACCGTTTTTGGAGTGTGAGTATCCCAGTACCAAAGGGCTCGACAATCGGATGGGATTTCAAGCTCGGCCTTGATGAAGCTGATGACCCTCTCATCTTCCTCCGACGAGCGATGCCGCAAGTGCTTGCTGTAGTTCGTGTAGAGGGCCACCACATTGGTATAACTATAGTGAGCGACCTTGGCACGATACAGCTTGCCGTTGCAGCGTTTCGCGATATCTTTGACTATCTGGTCCAGGCGGCTGAGGACAGACAAGGAAATATGTGCCTCATCGCGAGGGATCAACCCACGCCTGATGCCGTATGCGCGGAGCTGCTCAAGGGGGATGCCGACACCGTAATGGAACAATGGACAGTCATTCGGGCGAAGTGCCTTGCCGGACATCCAAGGCGAAATGCGCGTGAGCGCTCTTCGATGCTTAACCGCGAACTGGAGGTAGGTTTCCTGAAGAAGTACACCTCGGGTTACAATGGTTGTAGTTTCTGGTAGAGACAACGTTACCGTATATATCGCTTCGGTATCGCAAGCGACCGTCATCGTGCTCAAGCAGGACAATTCAAGATTACCAAAGTCGCGGGTGGTGGGTGTAGAGGTTGCACTCGGGGCTTTTATGGTGGTGACTTAGACGCACGTGACTGTTGTTCATGTTCGATTGTTTGACCGTTTCCGGCAAGTCTTGTCTTCTGTCGAGGTTCGCTGAAATCGCGATAGACTGGACTTGGACTAGACTGCATACTGCACGCTGCTCTATGTCCCATGACGATCAGCCTGAGCTCTCTAGGGAACTGCACAACCGTTATTTAACCTTCAATATCAAGAGTAGCACACGCACTCGATCGCCCACGAGCGGGCGAATCGTAGCTTCTGAGTCCGTATCTACCTCGAGACCATCGAGCACGTCGATGGCATCAGACCCTGGGACTGCTCATGAATCCTCTTCTCTGGTTTTACCCTGTACGGCAATACGAGCTCGTTGGGTATTGTCCGAAGACAGTCTGGTATCAGGATTGTTCGTACGGATTTAGTCAAGGTGACAAAAGCGGGTTTTGGCTTGTGACCCGGTTTAGTATACAGGGGCAATCGATTGACCACGAAGCAGCCGTGGATCAGTTCGCGCGAACGCCACACAGAATTCAGAAGCATATAAAATGTCTGTATATCCCGCCTTTGTTGTTCTCGTACCAAACGCAATGGACGACCCAATTACCCTCGAGGCGAACGTTAGTCCTGCTGGCAGTAGCTCCTATAAGACTGCGAACTGATGATGGCACGAAACACAGGTCTTCTTCCACCAGATGCGAATTCTCCTCAAATGCGTGGAGAGAAAGACCACCGAGTTCGGTTCGTACGCCTTCGTGGACCGGATGCTCGGTGCATGGGCGATGTCCGGCCGCGTCTTCGGGAAGAACGGCAAAGAGGGAGTGTTCACGTTCACTCCACAACATCGCATGGCGATCGACAATTCATTTGAATCCCTCATCCCGGATTTCGCGGCACTTGTGATCACTGAGGGCGACGACGGTATTGCTCGAGACGACTTGGTGTTCCTTTGGGAATGTAAAATCGATAGAGATCTGAAATGGTGGGACGTCGCCAAGGGGAACGTGAAGGCAGACGACATGGTCGGCGAAAGTACACTCGACTACTTGTACCAGGTTCAGAAGGCAGCGGCTTTGGCTATCGAGGTCTACGATCGCAGGATCAACTGCCGTCCGGTCTACGCCTTCCTGCGGGTGAACGCGCACTTTACCTTGTTGCGCTTCAGGGCGATCCCCGGGAACACTGCTAGCGGTGAAGCGATCCTCCTGAAGGAGTTCGACATGGAGATGGAATTCGTCTACTTCATCAAGCCGATATTCGAGGGCGATATAGAAAAGGATTTACGTCCGAGCCTTGCCTTTCTACAAGCACTCGATGCGGTGACCTCCGTTGCTGCTGCGGAAGACGGTCTGCAACTGCCCAAGACCTTCTTCGCGATACCGCCGAACGCCAGGCACACTGAAAAGCCAAAGAGAAGCATTCATGTGATTAGTCGTAGCATTTTCATATGGCAAGCTCACGCGTACTGACATTTGTTGTCCAGAGCGAGGCAAAGACTGTCTACGAGGGCTGGCTTGAGAGGCAGCAGCAGAGTGCTCAAGCAAACCTAAACGAGATGGTCATATCCGGTACGACGGCGGTTTCGAGCAATGACAACTACGTACCAGGGGACTCGGACGAGGACTCGGAAGAGGACTCGGAAGAGGACGAAGACGAGGACTCGGAAGAGGACTCGGAAGAGGACGAAGACGAGGACTCGGACGACTAGAGCTAGGCTAGGCCAGAACGCATTCGTGGAGATTTGAGGAATAGGACGACTCGCACGACCCGGAGCACGTTGACAATGGCAGTGTCCGCAGTGTTCCCGGTCACAATATTACTCGCATTGAGCATTCCAAACCCGGAAATGTAGCATTGTCGATGTATAGATGTCCTAGCAACCTAACATTGAGGAACTGCGTTCGAGTCCTGGGGCATACTGCGGACAAGGAAACATCCCGTTGTAGGTCGTGGTTGATCAGTAAACGCGTCAACATACGCAGATCGTCCATGTGTGGACCAACGATCAATCTTGTGAGAGCGGGTAGGCGATGTAGCCTCTGGCGAACTTCAGGATGTGACGTTCACGAATGATGTTCGCGAGCGGGAAGGAGCATACATAGATACGATTTGCGTTAACCTGAGGCGGGTTCACGCCTTTCGTCGATCTCATAGTACAGCATGCCGCCGTGCGGCCAAAATCGCATAGCGCACCAGTTAGAATCCCCAGAATATGAATGCGAAAGCATGAAAATGTGAATGCCGGAGCTTAGCAAACGCTGCGTAAAGTACTACAGCTCATATGCGCCTTGGTTCCTGGCCGTCATGGAGGACGATCCGCATGCGTCCACTGCATTACATGCCCCCAAGTTTGATACCAAGGCGATCGAAGAGGAGGCTGAATCATGAGTTGCCATCAAGAGATCAGGCTCGAATGCTCGGAGTAGGGCTCGTCATGATGGAGAAGACCAAGCGGTAGAAAGCTGTGCAGAGGCAGAGGCCGTCTCTTGACTGTCGTCCACGGCTTCGACCTTCGTCTCTGGGCCTCTTCAACTGCGATAGTAACTTGCTTCGGGGCATCTACCGCACGAATATACGACAGACAAAGCCGTTCATACGACTATCAGATCGCGCAGAAGTAGCGTCAACATTCACAGTCAAACCGACGAACAGGCCTCAGCATACGAAACACGTACGCTGCTCACGTATCATGTACAGATTTTACCTACTGACCAATACAATACACAGTATACTCGGCATTTGAAGTAGGATTGCCATGTCGGTTCCAGCCGCACAGACGCCGCCGCGTTCCAACACGCCCACCCAAGACAACCTCACCGCGCCCTCCACGGACAAGCGTCCGTCCTCCACCCGCCTCCCCTCCCTCAACCAGATCGCCGCCGGTCTCAAACTCGACCCTTCCACCGCTCCCTCGCCTGCTGCCTCCGCCGCGGCGCGCCCCCGGCTCGCCGCCTCCCTCCTGCGCACGGCGAGCACCGCCTCGCTCGTCTCCACCGCCGCAAGCGCCAGCGACAGCGTCGCCGTCCAGGCCCCGACCTCGCGCTCGACCTCTCCCTCCTCGCTCTCCACCCCTCCCCCGAGCGAACCCCCGGCGGCTGGCGACTCCGAAGAAGCGGCCGGCGGCGAGGCGCTCACGACCGACCACCTCCAGAAGCTGAACGAGCAGACGGCGACGCCGCCCGCGTCGACGTCCTCCACCGCGTCCAGCTCGAAGATGCCGCGCGGGTACAAGGGCATTCCCGGGCTCGATGCGCTCGCCGCGCGCCACCTCGCCAAGGCGCGCACGCTCTCGATCGACGGCAGCGCCCGCCCGCCCGACGCGGAGCTCGTCGAGGATCCGAAGACGCCCGGGCTCAAGGTCAAACCGCGCGAGCACCCGCTCGAGAACAGGTGGACAATCTATCACGACCAGAAGAGCGGCTTCCCCCCGGCTTCGGCCGGCGGCGAGCAGCAGCCGCCGAGCGCGCACCCCGGCTTCGGCCCGGGCAGCGTCGAGAAGGGTGAGTACGAGGCCGGCCTGACGGTCATCGGCGAGAACATCGACACCGTCGAGATGTTCTGCCGGTACTTCAACTGGCTCAAGCCGCCGTCCAAGCTCGAGAAGAACTCCAACTACCACCTCTTCAAGGCCAACATCAAGCCCATGTGGGAGGACCCCGCGAACGCTAACGGCGGGAAGTGGGTGCTGACGATGAAGAACAATCCGCAGCTGCTTGATCGGTGTTGGTCCTGGCTTGCGATGGCGCTAGTTGGCGAGGAGCTCGACGAGGGTGATGAGATCTGCGGCGCTGTCGTCAGCCTCCGGAGCAAGGTCGACCGGATACAGGTCTGGACGCGCGGGAAGGAGGACGTGGAGAAGCTGAACGGCATCGCCAAGAAGCTCGTCAAGATCCTTGACATCTCCGAGGGAGACCATATCGGCTTGGAGTTCCAGGTACGTTCGCAGTTCTGCTGTGGTCTTGGATGTGATCCCTCACTGACGTCTACCGTGCAGTACAACTCGGAAGATCGACCCAACCACAACAAGTTCATCTCTATTCAGTCCATTCCGCAAACTTCATACCGTCCCTCATTCCGCAACTCGCCTGTTGCGGGCCCAGGCGAAGGTCCCCAGGTTGGCGGCGCCTTCGGCTCTTTTAGTGTCGGAGGCGGTGGTGCTCTTGGTCGTGGGACGTGGAAGAGGGGTTGAAAACACACGAGAGATGTGAACGATGGCATAAAGAGGATGGATGGAAGGATGGATGAAAGAATGTTTTGATATGCAACCGTCTCAGCGAGACGTGCCTACGAACACTCCAGGTGCGGGTAAGAGTACGGTACATTGGAGGCATATTGTTGTACACCATTGTATACGCCATTCCATCGACAAACCAATTACTAATGTGTTTTTATGGAGACTTCAATGCGATTAACCGACGAGCGGGTATTGCCTATGAGGTGGGTGGACGACGACCATGCGGACTTCATAGTGAGCGCATCAGCAACAAAGCTTAGAGCAACAGGAGAGGACTTACTGTCTGTGAAATCGTCGATGGCGAAGTGCCCATATCCAGTGGCACCACTGCGAAAATAATCAGTCTGGATCAGGATAAGGTGAGAGGATACTCACCCAAGTCCTCCGTGTCCGCGCATCATCTCGGAGTGGAACGTGGGGCCATTGACTGCAGACGAAGGTTAGCCCCACTCGAAGAACGACCTTGGAGTCCATGAAACGGACCATTGCAGCACCCAGAACGGATGCGGCCGGCTACGTCGAGCGCCTGGTTGACGTCCTTCGTCCACAGTGACGATACCATGGAGTATTCTGAGGCATTCGCGAGCTCTACGAGCTCGTCGACCGTCTCAGCTTCGGCGAACACCATTACTATGACAAAAACATGACGATCGATCAAACGTACATGTGAGGGTACAAAATTCACGCACCAGGCCCGAACGACTCGCGATCCCACAAACGCATGCCCGGTTTCACGCCTCTGACAATGTGGGGCTGAACCACCGCTCCCTCCCTGTCCACCTTACCAAGCACCACCTCGGCCCCGCCCTCCTGGGCTTCCTTGATCATGTTCACGACGTTCTCCGCGCTCCCGCTGTTGAATAGTGCAGAGAGCTGGACGTTAGCCGGATCTTTGTCGTGATCGCCTGCTTTCAGCCTCTCCGCGAGGGAAGAGATGGCGTCCAGCAATGGCTTGGAGATACTTTTCTGGCAGATCACACGCTCGGTGGACATGCAGATCTGTCCGGAGTGAAGCATGGAACCGTAGACGAGCGAACGAGCTGCTTCGTCCAGGTCTGCGTCTTCGAGAACCTTGTGGTGCGGACATGTTCACAATGGTCTTTGTAAATCGAAAAGAACAACATACGACGGCGGGTGCTTTGCCACCGAGCTCGAAGACACATGGCTTCAGATACTTGGCGGCTTCCGCAGCGATCAGTTTACCCACACGATCACTCCCTGTGAACTGAGATTTGTGGTTCCAGATGAGCTGAGTGAAGGAAGCAGGACGGAAGAACTGACATTGATCTTCTTCACGAAGGGGTGCGCAATGATGGCCGGGGTTAGGATGGGTGAATTCTCTCGCCCAGTGCAAATATAGTTCAAGACACCTTTAGGAAGACCTGCCTGGAATATAGGAGTTCATCATGAGCCCAATCAAGGTATGGCCATGTCCGGACTCGCCTCATGCAATGCCTCCACCACGATCGCTTGAGTCCTCGGGGAGTATTCAGAGGACTTGAGGACAACCGTGTTCCCGCAGATGATAGGGATGGCTATTGCTCGGATAGTCAGGATGATCGGGGCATTCCATGGCGATATAGCGTATCTGAAATGCGAGGATCGGATGAACGCCATACAGAAGTGATAAAAAGAGGTACTTACATCACACCCATAGCTCGTCGTTGCGCTATGACATGTCCCCCGGGTACAATAGACGGGAATGTCTCGCCTTTGAGATCCGCCACCAGGCTGGCATAATGCTCCAACGAGCCTCTTGCGTAGGCACTATCGAAGGCTGCCCAGGTCTGCGTCGCCGCGGTTTCCGCCCTGATGGTCTCGACGATCTTGGCCTTGTATTTCTCCGATCCGATAAGCTCAGCGGCCTTGAGGAATACAGACCGCCTCTGAGGAAGGGGACTGTGCTCCCATGTCTTGAATGCCCGGCCTGCGGCTTCTACGGCAGCGGTACTATCGTCCAGGGTGGCCGATGCGGCGATGCTCACGACTTCGTTCGACAGCGGATTACGAACCTCGAAGGTGTCTTGATTGCTCGCGGGGCGCCATTCGCCATCGATGAATAAGTTGACGACAGGTATGGATGCCATTTTCTGAGTTGGATACGCGCAGTCAGGTCTCGATAAGCACGGCTACAGAAACGCGGTTCCTGGGTGTTCCACCAGTCTGGGGACACGCAGACTGAGTCGCCGCTAGCTTTATGAAGTTCCCTTCGCGAAGCGTAGCTGGCATTGTCATGAGAATACAGCATACAGCAACGTTTCTGCGGTGCGAACGAGGGCGTCACAAGGACCGCGAACTCCTGGTGGATCGCGCACAATTCCCACCTATTGGAGTTATGCCTGTAGGGGGAACGCATGAGATAATGCCGTATCTGACCATGAACTGCGGGAAGATAAGACGAGCTTGAGCACTGACCTGGAGCGCATGGCGAATCACCGTAGCTTTCTTTGCTGGCGTCCGTTCTCAAAGCAGTAGAGCGCGGGATCGTCTGGCCGTGGGCGAATTCGGTTCCGGGCCGGTTATCCGAGACCGATCGTTACTCAGCGAGCGCACCATTCTTAGCAAGCAATCCCAAATTGGGAGAGAGTGCTAACCTTTCCCCGCATCTCAAAAGACTTCAACATCCGGGTCACGATCCACAGGGAGCACTCGCATTTCAAGTTCGCGATCGCACCCACCGACCTTTCGGATATGTCCGAGCAAATCACCTTGTACACCGCGAAGGTACTCCCGTTCCTCGATCCCATTGTTCCCTTATTGAAGTAATATCTGGATGCGACGCCGATAAGCTGATGTATTGATTAGATCTGTCCTTACGCGCATAGAGTGAGTGGGCGTACCGGAAACTCCATACGAATTATTTGCTGATCAGTGAGGTGATTCGGGCGTGCGGAGCAGACCGAATTGGCCCTCGAAGAAGCCGGCGCTGAGTACGAAAAATACCAGATTGACCTGCAGAACAAGCCTGAATGGTATGCGCCCCTAATAAACCCTGCAAGCAAAGTCAGTGCATCGAGTCTTTTCGCACGGGCACGGGCAGCCATCAGTTCTTACCCATTGTACTCTCCTGCCAGGTTCCGGCGATCACCTATGGCGGTCCCAAGGTTGACCCTGCGACTCCGTCGCCCGAGTCGGCGAAGATTGCCGAGTCTCTCGTGTTGGTCGAGTTCTTCGCGGACCTGTTCCCTGAATCGACCATCCTGCCTAAAGATCCTTTGAGTCGGGCTCGAGCGCGCTTCTTTGTGGAAGTGGTTTCCTCCAAGTTGATACCGAGGTACTACGCCTTCGGCATGCGGGGAGAGTCGTACGAGCCCCTGCTCCAAGCTTTTGAGGAGGTGCAGCGTCTGCTCCCCAACGACGCCAAATACGCCGTCGGGGACGACTTCACGCTGGCGGATATCGCACTTTTGCCCTTCATCGCAAGAATGTGAGCACATGCTGAGGATGGAGCGATAATCATGCTCACAACGAGCCCGGCAGGTGGATCATGTTCGAGAACGACATCGGCGGCTTCCCTCCCGGCGAAGGGCGGAAGTTCATCAACACATTGCAGACCGATCCGAAGTATGCGAGGATCAACCAGTACATCGCCGATGTCACAGCGCGTCCTAGTTTCCTGAAGACATTCGACAAGGTAAGCGAGCAGTACCACACGGCGTGAACACATGACGAACACCTTCCAAGGCCTATGTCACCAGCGCCTTCGCCACGAGGTTTGGCCATCTTAGGGCGCAGAAACAAGTTGCTTGAGCTGGTTTGGTGATATGTTCGTATATGAAACCTGGGACCGTTAGTTATGCAATACGTTTGGTGACTCGCAGTTTGAGCGCCATGCTCTCTAATCAAGCAAAGGAATCATGAGCAGGGAAAGGCCACTAGGAGATGCGAGGTCTGCATACCTTCGTGCGTGATTGAATCTGGGAGCCAGTATCGCACAATATCTATGCCCATCAAACGATGGGAAATCATCTTGCCATGGATCTCGGTGTGGCATGATCTATAGCGATGTACACGAAAAACAGAAGAAAGCACTCGTCTAACATGGCCACCTAATCCAGCAGCTTATTTAGCCTGCAAGACATAGTCGGAATCAGAATGGCGAGGATCACGTACTACGAGGACATATGCCAAAATGACTTGACGTTCCTTACGTTGGCGAAGTTCGTGCAAGCGGCCCCGACATTGAAGGCAAAATTGGCGCACTCGGAATAGTTGAACACGACGACCGCAGTCTACTGGACTTGATCTGATGCGCCTTGTTGCTGGTGCATACCTGAGGACCAGTGCCGTTTTCAGGTGGACTGCCACCAACCTAGACAACCGTATCCGTGCGGAAGCCGGAGCGACGTGTATCGGGGAATTGCTGCCAGCTAGCCCCGGCAACGCCTTGGGAGACCCATGATGACGAGCGTATACGCGATATCTTTGACATGTGGAAGAACCTGGAAAGGACCAGAATCGGCGTCTGAGATACAACCTTAGTGATCGGCATACGCACCTCGAGGCTTGGAGTGCGGGCTGGACGTCAATGGGCATGTTCTGCTGCCTCTCCGACGCTCGATATCATCGAGGCATCCACGGCAACAGTTCAGAAGCGACAACCTGACTATAGATATGAATGGTCCACTGAATTCCTTGAAGGCCTGCTTTCTCGAGAAAGCGAGGGCTACCGTCGCCCATGGATGTACCTTCTGGCCTGTGCACCCCATTCGGAGGGCGACGAGCGATTTAAGCTGTGTACAGCGCGGCAGGAGAGACTGCAAAGCAAAGGACGGCAGACCGCAAAGATCCTGCTCAAAATTGCATTCGTACCCAACTTGGTCGGTACGTCTTAGGTTAACAACGCATGATGAACAGCCGATATGTTAGGTATGCAACGGGGTCGCGGCAAACGCAGTGATGCGAGGATGAACCCAGTCGTTCATAGGATGACATTGTAGAGGACTCTGACTGAAGGCCACAAACAGGTCACAAACGCGGCGAATCACGGGCACGTGATGTGTCCGCGTACCTGCGCGTTGCAAGAGTCTCTGACTCTCTCACCTTGCGGAGGCTAAGGCAACCTGCCAGTACATATCTTCAACGAAACATGTTTGTTTGATATCGATAGCTTGCGACACCCTGTAAGCATCGACGCCACGCCAAAATGCAACTTTCACCGTATCCACTAAAAGGTGATACGAAGCCTTCACCAGAAGTCCGAGGGCCGAGACGCACGAGACTGAACGACAAACGTGGATAAGTGATGCTTGGTATGGATTTCATATTTAATCAGTACTGGTGTTGCCTATACGGACCCTGCACGAAACCACGATCGGCCAGAACAACAGCGCCACCTGTCCGATGTGCTAAGATGGTCCAGGGACGCTCAACATCGCGTTCAGCCAACCAGGGGGTATTCACGGTGCGCAGGGTGGACGACGATCATGCGCACTACAGGAGAATGTATCAGAATGTCGGGGCCGTATGATAAATTGCTACCCACCGTCTGTGAAGTTGGCAACGTCGAACTGCCCATAGCCAGTTGCCCCGCTGGAAGCGGTCCTATTAGCAGGGGTGCAGCGATATGATTCGATGTCCTCACCCCAAACCGGTATCTCCGCGCAGCTCTTCGGTATGAAACGTAGGCCCGTTGACTGAACGGGACAGTCAATATCATCTTCAGGTGTTCGAACACATGGAGAGAACGAACCGCTCGTACAACCTGAGGAATAGGATATATTCAGCGATCAAGACAGATCGAGAGCAATCGACGCTTACCTGCTCTAATACGGCCTGCAACGTCCAACGCCGTATTGATGTCCTTGGTCCAAACGGAAGCCACCAATGTATAGTCCGACGCGTTGGCGAGGTCCACCAATTCATCGACAGTCTCCGCTTCTGCGAACACCAGAACTGCAATAGTCACAGGGTGAGGACGAGTCGATCGTTGGTGTGACAAAGTCAAGCAACGAACCAGGTCCGAACGACTCCCTATCCCATAACCTCATCCCGGGCTTGACACCTGTCACCACGTGCGGCTGAACGACCGCCCCGACGTTCTTAGCATCACCCAACAACACAGTCGCTCCCTCCGCTTTCGCCTCACTTATCATGTTGACGATATTCTGCGCCGAACCGGCATCGAACAAAGCGGACAGCTTGGCGCTCGCGTCGGAGGAGGGATCTCCAGCCTTCAACTTCGCGGCAACGTTCGTGATGGCCTCGAGAAGGGGCTTAGCGACGGGCTTCTGCACGATGACGCGCTCGGTGGACATGCATATCTGCCCCGAGTTGAACATCGAGCCAAAGATGATTGCGCGAGCGGCTTCCTCCAGGTTCGCATCTTTAAGAACCTTCACCAGTCTGTTCAATACTCTGAATGACAGAAGGAGGGAGAAGGCGTACCACCGCAGGAGACTTCCCTCCAAGTTCAAACACGCAAGGCTTAAGGTACTTGGCCGCCTCCGTGGCTATCTTTCTACCAACTACGTCGCTGCCTGTAAACTAAAGACGTTACAACTTCAGCGCGCATTCGATAGCAACATGTACTCACTGTGATCTTACGAACCAGTGGATGGCCGATGATATTCGATGTCACAGCTGCTGCCTGCTCCCGGGAGGACGAAACGAAGTTCAAGACGCCCCTGGGCAGTCCGGCCTTGCGTATACGTGTCAATGGCTCGGTCCATGCTTTCCAATCTTTGTGCACACCACGAACCTCCTCGAACACTTCCACAACGATGGCCTGGGTTCTTGGCGAATACTCCGAAGACTTGAGCACCACGGTGTTGCCGCAAATGATAGGGAATGCCACAGCGCGTACGGTGAGAATGATTGGCGCATTCCATGGCGCGATAGAGTAACTGGAGGTGACGTCCGTTGATAATGAGCAAGAAAAGAGAGGAACCGGGCATACACAACTCCCATTGCGCGCCGCTGAGCTATAACATGCCCGCCAGCGACTCGTGAAGGGAACGATTCGCCTTTCAGGTCATTTACGAGACCAGCTACGTGCTGCAGCTGTTCCGTAGGAACGAAAGCATTGATCCCCGCGAACTCTTGCACGGCAGCCGTTTCTTCCGTCATCGTGTGGACGATCTTCTTCCTGACCTTCTCAGTCGCAAAAATATCAGCGGCCTTCAGGAGAATGTTTCGTCGCTCCGCAAACGACGTGTGCTCCCATGACTTGAAGGCTCTTCCAGCCGCTTCCACGGCATCCTTGCAGTCGTCCAACGTCGCGGAGGCAGCGGTGCCTACGACAGCGTTCGAGTACGGGTTGCGCACCTCGAACGTGCCCTGATCACTGGAAGGGCGCCATTCACCGTCAATGAACAGGTTCGTGAAGGGAGCCATGGTTGCTGTATGCGTCAGCAGGAAGCCTTCGCTGAGTTCAGCCTGGGTGTACTTATGCGATGCTGTAATGCAGTGACGTACCGCGAAGGCAAAGAAGCGACCACCAGCCCCCACGGTCAAAGACCTTCTAGCCATGGCTTCAGAGCCAAGTTGCCTCGAGAATGTTTGATTTACCTTAGAAGGGCTTCAGGGTAACATTGGAAGCCTCCGACAGGTTCCCGTGAACAATCCTTGTCCAACGCAGAGCCATTGTACCGGAGTTGAATATCTCGCGTTACAGCCAGCCAGAGATGTCCATGTTATGGCGGACGATGCGCAGATATAGCTGAGAAATGCTCGACGAAGACTCGGCTCCTGGCAGTCCTGCAAGTACAACGGATGCGGCGCTTGGTTCCACGTGATACTTCACTGTTGGGCACAACTTTCATTGGAACAATTTCATAGCTAGCAATGCATGGTACATCAGTTTATCACTCCGTCACGGTATATTCGCCGTGTACAACTTGATTGTTCCATCCTGCGATACTTACGATGGCGGCCGTCACCGATGCCGAACAGATATACACGGTAAAGCTATCCTCTCAACACTCTCAGTGATTCATTCAAGGAGATGTATGTTCTCAGGAAACCTACCTCCAATTCCTGATCAAGCATCGGAGAGCGCTGATGCGCATTCCATCTTGGATGTGTAGCAAAGGTATTCGCCAGGACGAATGCCCAGTGTTCCACTACGGAGTCGGCGTTACCCTCGAGCACTTGCGCATATATGGCATCAAGCACGGGATACTCCCTCTCGACGAGGCAGAGATCGACTTGTCTGTCATCAGCTGCGTAGGGCAAGTAGTCAGCGATATCGCGAAACGCGGCAAAGTCAAGTTATATCACACTATGGTCGCACATCATAGCTATACCAACGCGGTGGCCCTCTACACGAGCTTTAACAAGCACCGGAGGTATCGTTCGTCGGAGGAAGACGAGAAGGCCGTCAGCTTCATCAAGGCCGAGCTTGGACTCCCATCCGATTGTCGAGCCCTTTGGTACTGGGATTATGATACCCCAAGAACGGTGACTGTCGAGACGGTGAGTTCTGGATTCCCTTTGCAACACTTCGCTTGCCTGGAACATCTGTACTGTAGCTCCCGATCCCCAAGACCGTCGAATCACGCATGCAGCGCTTGAAGATAGAAGACGGAAATCAGAACTTGGAGTTTGAGTCCGTGGACGAGGAACTCATACAAAGGTACACGTCCTTCGACACCGAGCCCAACACCGGCCGGGCCTAGCTCCCCAGCAAAATCTCAGCTCGCGTTCCTCGTCTTTCGCTGTTATCGCTGCTCTGTTCCGTTTGCTATCGATAATCATGTTCTATCTTTGCTTTATGTATCCTCAGCATGTACAAGCGTGTCCGTGCTAGCGTACTACCGGTAAACCTCGCTGAGCACCCACCAGTCTATACGAAGAAAGGACGGATGTCGTTACTGTCGCCACCTTGTCGCCGTATTTCTCTCAAACGTGTTGTACTGAGGGCCACGTACCTCCCGTGTCTCGCAGGCTCATGGCCGGAAGACGTCACCTGTCTCCTTGTGGTAGTTCCCTATTGGGCACAGCTTGCAGTGAAATAAATGCATAACTGGCAATACTGTACTTTTACGACCGTAAGTTCGTCCCGCGTCCCCGGGGCACCCGAACCGAACTTATTGTCCCCTGTCCCTGGCACTCCGAGCCTCCGGGACACATTATATCTGACCGTGAGAGTCTTAAATCTGACCGTGTGATCAGAAAATCTGACCTCGTAAGCACGTGTCCCCCGGGCAAGGCTGCGGATGAACTTCCCACGGCCCCGAACTTGGCCCGTGTCCCCTGTCCCCCTCCGACCTGGCCGAACTTACGGTCGTAAAAGTACAGTACATCCGAGGTATGTAGGAGACCAGCCGCAGTGTTAATGTAGCATTAACGAAGCGAAGCGATAGCGTGATGAACATGATCAGTTCTCCGCTGCAGCGGCCGAATGTGTGGTCAGAACCGTGCAGGTGAGATGAGGTATGTCGGCCATGTCCACCGCGAGTTCGTTGGCGGTGTACTCCGGGTTCGCCTCGGAAGTGTCAGTCGGCACGCCGTACAGCTCGGAGGTGACCGCGACCGCCGACTTGATGGAATGCGAGTTAGGCGAATAATTCCTTGGCTGTCATCAGCCGCCTGGACAGAATAGTCGAAGATATCGCGAAACGCTGCAACGTCGAGCTATATCGAGCTAAGCTCGCACATCATAACTATACCAATGGGGTGGCACTATACGGGAGTTTCAACAAGCACGTACGGCATTGCTTGTCGCGCGTAGGTGAGAAGGTTTTCAGGTTCATCAAGGCGGAGCTCAAACTTTCACCTGACTAGCAAGCCCTCTGGTACTGGGAAAATCGCACTCCAAAGATTGTGACTCGAAAGACAGCAAGTCTTGATCTTCATATGCAAAATCTCGTTAGATCTCAACAGATCTATCATTGTTCCTATCTATCCCCAAGGCCGTCAAAGCGCGCATGCAACGTTCGCAGGTCGAGGATGAAAGTCAAATCCCGAGATTCGAGTCCGTGGACGCAGAGATCCCAGGAAGGTACGCGTCCTTCGACACCGGGTCCAAAATCCAAGTCATGCTGGCCTAGCTCATCCGGTTCCTCGTATCTTGCTGCTGTTGCCGCCCTGTTCTTTCTATTATCAACGATCGAGCTTCGAATTAGTTCTCCTGGCCTGGCGTCATTGAGCAACTGTCGTTGCTAGCGTAAGTCTGGTGAAACAGTGCTCAGTGAGCGCTCACTAAATGAGGCTTGGGATGTCGTCGGAAACTTTGCTCGTTGAATCTGCTGTCGTCGTTGTCTCATCGATTTCTAATCGGTTCATGCAAGCCCCGTCAAATGACATGCTCACGCGTCTTAATCGCTCAACGTGGATAGTAGTATCTGCGCTCTAAAACTCGGCGTATTTATCAATGTGCTCCGGGCTGTGTAAGGAGTATATGGAGTCATCGGCACGCCGCAATCAGGGCATGCATAGAAACTGATAGGCCCACATTTCATCCTCAACGCTTGAAGCTGCCATATTCAACGATGATTATTGGAGAGAAAATCATTATATTGTGAAGTTGAAACCGCTGTATCGTCGGACACGATGCCGTGTTGAAAACTGTCAGACCCGAGCAGAGCGACGGGCCAGGCTATATAATCTCCACTGAATCATCATCATGAGAAGCGTGGATATACGATAGCACATAGCTGGCGACAGATCATATCCAACAAACATAGAAGACATATGGATGGAACCCAGCACCACGACGTCAACTGCGAGTCGCTTCGCGCGAACTTTACCTGTAACCATACGACCACGTTCTAACCTAGTCGTCTGAGTTGTCCGAACCCAAGTCCTCTGGTACGTAGTTGTCATTGCTCGACACCGCCGTCGTAGCGGATATATTCATCTCCTCTTGATTCCGTCGAGCACTTTCCTGCTGGAGCGTAAGCCATTTCACGTAGAAGTCCTTTGCCGCGTTCTTCACAACAGATTTCAGTATGCATGAACTACAGGCATGAACATATGGCGAGTACTCACGTGTATTCCCCTTGTCGGCTTTGCTTTATGCCTGGCGTTCGCTGGTACCGCGAAAAAGCTATCTCTGGGGAACCGTAGGCCTTCATCAGCGGCCTCGAGGGTTGCCGCCTCGAGGGCATGTAGAAAGGCGAGGCTCGGGCGCAGATTCGTCCGGAAGTCACCCTCGAATATCGGTTCGACGAAGTAGACAAATTCCATCTGCATTCCGAATTCTTCCAGAAGAATCGCTCCGCCACTAGCAGCTTTCCCCGGGATGGCCTTGAAGCGCATCAGGGTGAAGTGCGCGTTGACCCGCAGGAAGGCGTAAACCGAGCGGAAGTCGACCTCGCGATTATAGACCTTGATTGCTACAGCTACTGCCCTCTGAACCTGGTCGAGGTGTGCAAGGGTACTTTGGCCCAGGCGCTGTTCGAACAGTTTGGAGCTGGGGGTCCACCATTTCAGGGTCAGATCGATCTTGCATTCCCATAAGAATACGAGCTCATCTCGATCAACGCCGTTGTTGAGCGTGTACATGAGTGCCGCAAAGTCCGGTGTGGCGGTCTCAAGTGGATTGCCCGTGGCCATGCGATGTTGCGGAGTGAACGAGAAAGCACCCTTGACGCCGCTCTTCCCGATGACACGACCAGACAACGCCCAAGTGCCAAGCATCCGATCTACGAAGGCATATGAACCGAACTCGGTGGTCTTTTTCTCGACACATCTGACGAGAGTATGCAACTCCTCCAAGTAGACCTATATTGGGTGCACCCGTTAGCTTGAGTCTTTAATAAGACAAATCACTGAGACCGACGTTCGCATCGATAGTGATCGCAGCGTTCATTGTGTTCAATATGAGAGCCAGGACCGCGACATCCACGGGGATTTTATACGCCATTGACTTCTATGTGGCGTTCACGCGAGCGAGCCCACGTCGGCTTTAGTCTATCGATCATCCGTGTATACCAAACCGGGCCATAAACCAAATCCCCCTTTCGTCACCATTCGTAGGAACAGCATGGCGTAAGATTGCACCGGTGCGTTTTCGGACAACACTGGACCTATTGCTAGATCGGGTAAAGCCAGGAAGAGGACGTCGAATGCACGTACTCTACACTCCAAGGGGCCCACAATGGATTGCAGAACCGTGTTTGGCGTGCTTGAGGGTGATTTTCCTGCTCCTATACGGAATCCGAATGCATATGCGGCATGTTATTCTCGATATTTAGAGGAAAAAACATCTGTTCCTGATCAGGTTGTCGCGCAGTTCCTTGGAGGGCTCCGGCTAGTTTCTCATGTGATATGAGGAAGCGCAGGAAGCACGCTATGTAGGACAACAAGACTTCCGAAAACAGTCGAACAATCGAAATTCAACAACAGTCACGTGCCCATAAGTCGCGATATTAAAGTAAAAGCCTCATCGCGGTATATTCGCCACACCGCGTACGATTTGACCGTCTTCATCCATCCTGCAGTACTTACGATGGCGGCCGTCACCGATGCCGAACAGATATACACGGTAAAGCTACCTACCCAACACTCTCAGTGATCCATTTAACGAGATGTATGTTCTTAGGAAAGCTACCTCCAATTCCTGATCAAGCATCGGAGAGCGCTGATGCGCATTCCATCTTGGATGTGTAGCAAAGGTATTCGCCAGGACGAATGCCCAGTGTTCCACTACGGAGTCGGCGTTACCCTCGAGCACTTGCGCGTATATGGCATCAAGCATGGGATACTCCCTCTCGATGACGCAGAGATCGCCTTGTCTGTCATCAGCTGCGTAGGGCAAGTAGTCAGCGATATCGCGAAACGCGGCAAAGTCAAGTTATATCACACTATGGTTACACACCATAGCTATACCAACGCGGTGGCCCTCTACACGAACTATAACAAGCACCGGAGGTATCGTTCGTCGGAGGAAGACGAGAAGGCCGTCAGCTTCATCAAGGCCGAGCTTGGACTCCCATCCGATTGTCGAGCCCTTTGGTATTGGGATGATGATACTCCTAAAACGGTGACCGCTGAGACGGTGAGTTCTGGATTCCGTCTGCAACACTTCGCTTACCTGAAACGTCTGTACTGTAGCTCCCGATCCCCAAGACCGTCGAATCACGCATGCAGCGCTTGAAGATAGAAGACGGAAATCAGAACTTGGAGTTTGAGTCAGTGGACGAGGAACTCATACAAAGGTACGCGTCCTTCGACACCGAGCCCAACACCGTGTGGGCCTAGCTCCCCAGCAAGATCTCAGTTCGCGTTCCTCGTCTTTCGCTGTTATCGCTGCTCTGTCCCGTTTGCTATGGATGATTATGTTCCATCTTTGTTCTATGTATTGTCCTGATGTGCAAGTGTGTTCGTGCTGGCGTAATACCAGTAAACCTCGCTGAGCACCCACCAGCCTACACGATGAAAGGACGGATGAAAGTAGTCGAATGTGTTATCTTAGTCGCTGCGTTCGGTACTGTCGCCATCTTGTCGTGTTACCTACCGTGTCTCGCAGACTCCTGCAACGAATCCGAAGGACGCCGCCTGTCTCTACGAGATAGTTCACTTGGGCATAGCTTTTATTGGTATAAATCCATCAATACATCCGTGGTATGTAGGAGGCCAGCCCCCGTATTATAACCGTAGTATCGACAAAGCAATGTGATAACATAATGAAGATGATCAGCTCTCCGCTGCAGCCACCGAATGTGTGGGCAGAACCGTGTAGGTGAGATGAGGTATGTCGGCCATGTCCACCACGAGTTCGTTGGCGGTGTACTCCGGGTTCGCCTCGGAAGTGTCGGTCGGCACGCCGTACAGCTCGGAGGTGACCGCGACCGCCGACTTGATGGGATGCGAGGTGGGCAAGGCCCGTGTGGATATCAATTCGTCAGGTATGCCCTCGAGCATCGCGAGCGCTTCGTCGACCATATCCTCGAGAGCAATCTTTTGGGAGGCGACCGTCGGCGTTGCACCAATCAACTCAGAGGGAGGTGTGGTCGCTGCGAACGGGATGGCGGTGGTCGGATTGGGAGGGAGTAAAACGTTGAGGTCGTCGATGAGCCCGCCGACATCTGGTTCTTCGGTTTCGTCGTCGTCGTCGCCAGTGTCGCCCCCGCCACCTTGCGGGGATGGTGAGTCGTCGTTACCTTCCCTGTCGGTCGAAGCGGACGCCGATGCGGAAGGCGTGACCTGCGGTATGGATGTATCGGGTGTGTTGGTGGGCAATGGGGTCGTCACCACCGTAGCTGCCGCGGAGGCAGGATCGGGAGTAGGAAATAGTGGGTTCGTGCTAGAGGCCGTGCTTACGGCGGCGGCAGTCGACTGGGTGGTGAACGTGGTGGAGTGGGCCCTCATCCAGCTATTGATCGGGATCGCGGCAGCGGGCTCAAGTTCTGTGCCTTCTATGAAGGCCGGGAGACCCATTTGTGCACCTAGGACAGAGCTGGTGTCAGGGTCGTCAAGCGCTGAAGTATACCGTAAGAACATTGCTACATGAGGGGGAAAGCGGCGGAGGCTTACTGAATCCGGCGTCGTCGCGCTTCTTCCTGTGCAGCGCGGGTCCTCGGGTGGGGACACTTGCGGAGGATGCGAATGATGGAGTGGAGGACGCAGAGGTAAGCCCGAGGAGTGCGGCGACGTCCTGCGTCGGCACAACAATGGGCGAAAGCGGCATAGCAGCGGCGGAAGAGATTGCGACGGAGGCGAGAAGCATCGAGCTTGTGGAAGTAAGGCGCATGACGGTTGCTGCTGCTGCTGGAGTGGTGATATGTTTGGGTGAGTCCGAGGGAGAACTGGAAATAATTCTATCATCTGAAGTGTACCGACTTATATAGACTCATGGTAGACAGGGGCCTTCACACTGCTAGACGATCGACGGATGAGAGGCGGATGGAGGCGCGGAGGCGGAAGGCGGGATGACGGGTTCGGGCGGAAAGGGGGTAACACAATCTCCGTCGCCGAGGCAGAGCCCCGTAGCTCAATGAGCGTAGACCAGCCGCAGTTAGAGACCGTGCTAGAAACACCATAGAGAAGAATATCGACAACAGTCAACCGATGAGGAGGTCGGGTGTTGCCGAAGGAGCAATCAACGCTACTGTATTTCTTGCCGCGTTCCCCG